ACAGGAAAGGAGTGAAAACTATGATTTTGAAAGATGGGTGAGAGAAGTGATTTCTTGTTTACCACTGAACACATTTAATAATCATACTCTCTCCCACTTTAATCATCTTCTTCAATTCAGATGGGTGCTTTCAAGTTGTAACCCTGGGGTATGTGTCTGGGGTTTATATCATGAAGAAAGACTTCATGATACAAAATTATTATTTCTTAAGCTTGATATTCATTGTGAAAGGATTTACCCTGCAAGTGGGGTAGATAATCAGCAAGTGAGAAAATATAAATAAATCTACATTGAGAGTTATATTTCATTTCAACTGGCCCAATAGAGAGAAAACAATTTGCAATAGAATAAGCCAATCTGCCTGTTACTGCTAAAAGCTGAACTTTAGGTAGATGATATTGTAATTTCACAGGTTTGTTTCCATTTTACAGCTCATCACTCACAAACTAAGTATCTGAACTGTGTACTTCTGGATTAATTTCTAGCTGTGACTTTAAATTACGAAGGAAGAGAAAACTGCCAAAGACGCCAGAAGCTGTGCAGAACATATCATGCTTAGGAGATTGGAAAAGATTTATGATGAGCTTGGAAGTTGATGGAATAATAAAAAGTGAACCAATGCCACTATTTTGCCTTTTTAAAGAATACTATTTTGAATGAAAATGTATTGTTACTGATGTTTCGTTAGTGTATCTTGTCCACAAAACAATGTAGTAATGTATTGTCGAAGGCTTTCATGGCTGGAATCACTAGGTTCTTGTGGGTTTTTTCGGGCTATAGAGCCATGTTCAGAAGAAGAAGAAGAAGAAGAAGAACTCAACAGGTTCCTGGACCATCTCAAGAGCATCCACCCAAACACCCAGTTCACCATGGAAAAAGAAAATGAAGAAGACTGCCTTTTCTAGATGTCCTAGTCATCTGCAAACCAGATCAACAATTGGGTCACACCGTCTACAGAAAACCCACACACACAGATAGATATCTACATAAAAACTCCAACCATCACCCAAGTCAAAAAAGAAGCACCATTAAAGCCTTGGCAGACCGTGCAAAAAGAATCTGCGAACCCCACCTCCTCCAAGATGAACTGAATCACCTCAACTGGGCTCTCCAAGCCAATGGATACTCCACCTCAGACATCAGAAGAGCTGCAAGACCAAGAACAAGCCACGAGAGTAAAGATGAAGATCCACCCAGAGGAAAAGTGTTCCTGCCATACATCAAGGGAACCACTGACCGCATAGGGAAGCTGATGAGGAAACACAACATACAAACAATCTACAAACCCACCAAGAAAATCCAACAAATGCTACGTTCAGCAAAGGACAAGAGGGATCCTCTCACCTCTGCAGGAGTCTACCGTATACCATGCAGCTGTGGACAAGTCTACATAGGGACCACCAAACGCAGCGCCCAGACACGCATCCAGGAACATGAAAGGCACTGCAGACTACTTCAACCAGAGAAGTCAGCCATAGCAGAGCACCTGATGAACCAGCCTGGACACAGCATATTATTTGAGAACACAGAAATGCTGGACCACTCCAACAACCACCATGTCAGACAACACAGAGAAGCCATTGAAATCCACAAGCATGTGGACAATTTCAACAGAAAGGAAGAGACCATGAAAATGAACAAAATCTGGCTACCAGTATTAAAAAACTCTAAAATTATAACAGCTAAACAACAGAGAGGAAAAAACCAGGCACAGATTAACACCTCCCAGCAACAGATCTTCCCAGACTCAGGCAGGCCTTCAAATGCTAATGAAGGCGATCAGCTAAACATTCACACCTAACTGCAGCAGGGAAGAGCTCCTTGCCCCACCCCAGCCATTCCACAGATATATAAACCCATTTTTCCTACTTCCAACAGACCTCACTACCTCTGAGGATGCTTGCCATAGATGCAGGCGAAACGTCAGGAGAAATGCCTCTAGAACATGGCTCTATAGCCCGAAAAAACCCACAAGAACCTAATGTAGTAATGATTGGTATGTGATTTAAGAGCTCCCTCAAGTGATCCTAGCGCTTGTTATTTTTTCTCTGATTTCTAAGTCTTATTTTTCTGAATCATCTTTTGCATCAGTTAATTCAGAGATGGACAAGCTGTGTTTTCTCTGCTTTCCCCTCCAAATCTAGTGGCAAAATGGTACCAGAACCAGGTGGAGTTAGCTGTTGGGTCCTTTGGTGATTCCATAGGGTGATCTGCAGTTAATGGTTCAAGATTATCTCTGATTAACAAACCATGTAGGTCACAAAACCACACTGAAAGATTTAGTTGCACTGGTTAGCATGTGTTGTATTATTATTAGGGGCAATTTTTGTCCCATCTTGTGCAGATATCCAAACCAGTCAAACTCCCTGTTGCCATTTTCATTCTTTCAACACCATTCTGAAGAACTTTCAGCTAAGCTAAGATTTAAAGACGACATGTAGAAGAAATGAAAAAAGGGAGAAATCACCAAAGAGGAATTCAGACAAATAGCCAACACACATGGGAAGAAAATACTAATACTAATACTAATACTAATACTAATACTAAGAAGAAGAAGAAGAAGAAGAAGAAGAAGAAGAAGAAGAAGAAGAAGAAGAAGAAGAAGAAGAAGAAGAAGAAGAAGAAGAAGAAGAAGAAGAAGAAGAAGAAGAAGAAGAAGAAGAAGAAGAAGAAGAAGAAGATTTTATTTGTCTTCCGTTCTATGCCAAAGCATAGAATGACCTCAGGCTAGAAAAGTTAAAAACAATAATAAGAACTTTTTGGTTCTGTTTGTAGTAAAAGAAAGATTGAGGAAATAGTAGGGCCACTTCATGGAAAAGCTCATGAAGTGCAAACAAGGAACAGAGAGAAGGCAGAACTACTTTACACCATCTTTGACTCAGTTTCCTTCTAAAAGGAAAACAATACTCAACACTGCTGGGGAAATTGATGCAGTAGGGAAAATGCAGCACGGAATAGGTAAAGAGGCAGTTCCTAAATACTCTCAATCAATTTAGGTTCAAGAGCAAGATTAATGACAGATAAGGGTAATTTAAGAACTGACAGAAGTAATCGCAGAACCACTGGCAATAATCAGAGAACTGTTCCTCTTGATACTTTCTGTGATGGGATTTTCCCCACATTTCACTGAAAAAGCAGCCTTAGTATGTGTGTGTGTGTGTGTGTTCATTTCATCAGTATGGAGTAAGAGCTTACTGCCATGTCCTATGAAACTGGTATAATATTGGTGAAAATGGGTCCCCTGGTTAGGCAGAAATGTGTATGTGTTTTCTGACATATTTTTTTTACTAGAGTAAACCAATGGCTAAGCACAGAGCTAGAACAAGATTAAGGCTAGTTACATATTTTTCTTGAAATTCTGGTATCCTAGCAAGTACTTGCAATATAGTATCTTACTGTGATTTGTGCACAAACCTTCTGTTCATCCTATGTTGTTTACTGGTTTATGTGCAAGTTGTGATGTTCAGTAGTGTCTACAGCCAAGATTTCACTCCATAGAATGTACAAATGCAATCATGTTCAGGCTCTTCTTTCTTCTCTCTCTAATTCCAAATGAGAAGGGTGAGTCCTGTTGAACACAGGGGATTTATTTCTTAGTAAAAGAAACAAGCTCACACTTTTCTTTTTTACTTTTTCTCTTTTTAAAAGGAAATCACACTTAATTGAGAGGTGCTCTATCACATCAGTCCATCTCCTCTCCCTGCTTTCCTTTTATATATATTCTTCCCAGAGTATCCTCTGGTGAGCCGGTAGAATAGTCAGTTCAAGGAACAACATCCCACATCCCTCTGGCTGCCTTTTTTCATGGATAATAAGACAGAAGAGCTAATGCAAGTTGGATGCTGAGACTTCAGGCAGATTTGATCACATAACCCATCTGTTGACTTGTAGAGTTGGCTGTGATCTCTGATTAATGGCCAGAAAGGTCTCTGCTCCACTATTAGCCTCAAGGTTGGGAGCTCCATCAGAAAAATACACTCTTCTGAAATGGCAGGATTTTTTTTTATTTCTCATGTCAGGGCAGCCAGTCAATTATATGACATTTCTAACAGAACAAAGCAAGCAAACAGATGTGTGAGTTTGGTAGTTGATTAAATGTCCTTTGACCAGTATCTGGCCACTTGGAGTGCTTCTGGTGTTGCTGCAAGAAGGTCCTCCATTGTGCATGTGGCTGGGCTCAGGTTGCATTGCAGCAGGTGGTCAGTGGTTTGCTCCTCTCCGCACTCGCATGTCGAGGATTCCACTTTGTAGCCCATTTCTGAAGGTTGGCTCTGCATCTTGTGGTGCCAGAGCGCAGTCTGTTCAGCGCCTTCCAAGTCGCCCAGTCCTCTGTGTGCCCAGGGGGAGTTTCTCATTTGGTATCAGCCATTGGTTGAGGTTCTGGGTTTGAGCCTGCCACTTTTGGACTCTCGCTTGCTGAGGTGTTCCAGCGAGTGTCTCTGTAGATCTTAGAAAACTATGTCTGGATTTAAGTCGTTGACGTGCTGGCTGATACCAAACAGGGGATGAGCTGGAGATGTCTCTGCCTTGGTCCTTTCACTATTGGCTGCCACTTCCCGGCGGATGTCGGGTGGTGCGATACCGGCTAGACAATGGCAGGATGAGATATACCCATAACTGCACTTAGATGATGGGCCGTTGGTGGAGAATGGTCATCAAAGAGGATTCCAATGTTCAACAAGGCAAATGGAAATTATTGGATTTGTTTTTGAGAACCAGATTTACATTAATACCTGAGAATCATATAGATTATATTTAGAATTGTTGGCAAAACACGAAATGACTGGAGTACCAAGAAAGCAATAACCTAGTAATGTGCTATAATAGTGGCTATTTTCGAAAGTGGGCCAGCTGAGTAAATACTGTGTGTAAACTCTTTCTGTTTTGTACTAAACATTTTAGATGGGTATCCTGATGAAAAATGTTGTGAAAGTGTTGTCCTTGTGTCTGATGTAGAGTTCTTTGTTGAGCCATGCATTTTTATTTCTTTCTTCCCACAGCAAAAGCCAAATCGAAATGTGGCTCCACCTTCTTTCCCTGTGCAAGTGGAATTCACTGTATCATTGGGCGCTTCCGATGCAATGGTTTTGAAGACTGTCCAGATGGCAGTGATGAAGAAAACTGTAGTAAGTATGAAAACAGAGGAATATTCTTCCTTTTTCATAGACCAGGTAATGTGGGTGGTTATTACTAATTTCCCAGGCCTAAGTCCAGAGTCAAAACTCTTGTTATCTTATTTAAAAGCAAGTCAGCATTTTAAAAACTTTTGTAGACTTAAACTCAAATAATTCCATAGAAAAATGAAGTCTAAGTTGTCCAAATAGTGTAAAGTCCAATAGTCTTTTGGGACTTTAGTTTAATTTACCTGTTATTATTTTTATAAAGGCCACTTCTTTGTAAGTGTTAGGATCAGAATAGAACTTCTGTTAACATGTGGTTTTCAGAATGGAAATTCCATGAGCTTTAACCTATTTTCTTACAAGAAAAATGCTTTAGTACAAAAGAAATACGTTCTGTGTAGAGTGCCATTTTAAAGGGGTTATTTATTTTTGTCACAAATTCCTTAAGAATTAATTTGCTGTGATATTCGAAATTAGCATGCATCCTCTTTTCTCTCATCTACCTCTGTTTGGTTTATAATCTTCTTTACCCTTGCCTTATGCAGCTTAGTTTTCCCCGCCATTTTAGACTATACATTTCAGGATTCCTGCCCGTTGCCTACAGTGGGAGCGGCTCTGCCTTCACATTCTGCTATTTATGAATTTATTTATTTCTGCCTAAATTGGCATTCAACGTAACTAATAACAATAAAATACAAATACAGGCAGTCCCCAAGGTACAAACAAGATAGATTCTGTAAGTTTGTTCTTAAGTTGAATTTGTATCTAAGTCGGAACAGGTACAATTTTTAAGTGTAACTCCAGTCAAGAATTGTTTTACGTTTTGTATATCATAGGGAAGGCTTAACACCCCTGTGGTGTTTGTTTTGCTGTCTGTGTTCCTGTTCAGAAGATTTCACCTCACTTTTTGGCCCTGCAATAATTGGATTTTGAAAAAATTGGCTCGTTGTAGAAACAAGAATTGGTGATAAAGCTTCAGTTGAGACATCTTTTCCCCATGATAACTCTTTCAGAAAATCACCTTCTGAGGGGTGATTTCTCTCACTTTCTGTTGCTTCACCACTGTTCTTAGCTATGAGTCTTTTGTAAGTCAGATGTCTCAAGGACTGCCTGTAAAAGAAAATACAGTTTGAAATGAAAACAGATTCAGAACAAAACCTTAAGAAAGAAACAGCTCACTTCAGCTATAACCAAGCTCAGATACTAAAGACATACCAGAATAAAAATATTTACCTGATGGCAGAAGGACAATAGAATTGGACCTCCATCAACAGGGAGTTTTAGTCCTTAGAAATTGCCAGCAAGTGAAAACTTCTCTTGTGTCTCCATCAAAGCTTGATGACACTGAAGTTGGATCTTCTCAGCCATACAATTCTGTTTGAAAGGTGCTTCTTTTAGATCTTAAAACCATGGCAAGCTTGTAAAGGAAAGTGCTTTTTTTCAAATACTGTGGTCCCAATTGTATAAGAACTGGACTGGACTGGACTTGCCTTCCATTTTCAATCTGTTGTTACGCCTTAAAAATTGATGACAGCACCATCTAATGGATGAATATTGTCAATAACAATCTATTTAACAGAAAAAAATGATTGAAATGTACCAAGAGTACAAATGAGACATCTGAAAATTAGCAAAAACACAGCATTCAGTGGTCACTAGTGCTTCTATAATAAACTCAGCACTGAACTTAGAGTACCATTTCAGAAATGAAGCGAAAAACTAAGATCAAATGTTTGGAGATCCTAAAACAAATGGGACTTACAAATTTAATGCTTACAGCAGTTGACAACAAAACTGGAACAAATAAACATCAAACTAAACTGGAAAATCCTGACCTCTTAAGAACAAGAAGTGCACAGAAAAAAATAGCAAAATTGTCAGCATCCAGCCTAAACAAACAAACAAACAAACTCCAACTTGAGAAAGGTTGAATTGGTCAAGGAAAAGGAAGAGAGGAAATATGAAAAAAGGAAGCTAGTTAAGCCCAGTAAAAAGAAGTTGGGTAGACGAAGAGGAAAAATTAGAGTTAAGAAGAAGCAGGTACAGAATGGACCCCAGGTTGGGATCCAGAAATAAGTAATGTGGATGAAACAACGAGGATGTCAAATGCTAAGAGTAAATGCAGAACTGACAGGGAACCCAAAGATGTTACCAAACTTAATCTCCAATATCATTTGGAGAAAACAGAACATTTTAAAAACAGATGCAAAAAGGAGAGAATTCCACAAGATTAGGATGAATGGAATTAATGAAGAGAAATTGGGTAGTAGAAGGATAAAGGTATATAGTAGATACAATAGATCTTTGGTTATGGAAAATAGTATTTCTATCAATTTTGTGTATATATATAAAACTGAATTTGTTTGTGAAAGGATATTAACTAAACTGAGGGAACACAGTTAAGTCATAAGAGAATTTGGGTTCCAATATTTGAAGTATGGATCACATAATTTTTCCTTGTTGAGAAGGAAGGGTGGTTAGTTAGTCTGGGGTGAGCTAGTCTAGGGTGAGCCTCACCACCCAGAGGCTCATCCTTCTTCCTGGAGGAGGAGGGGGTATGGCTGTTCTAGGTGCACAGCCGTGGGAACATAAAATCATTATGGGGTTTCTAGTTACACTCCCCCTGAAGACACAGGTTCGCAGCTTGGGAGTGATCCTGGATTCATTGCTGAGCCTGGAACCCCAGGTCTCGGCAGTGGCCAGAGGAGCTTTTGCACAACTAAGACTTGTGCACCAGCTGCGCCCGTACCTTGGGAAGTCTGACTTGGTCCACGCTCTAGTTACATTCCGAATAGATTACTGCAATGCGCTCTACGTGGGGCTGCCTTTGAAGACAGTTGGGAAACTTCAGCTAGTTAAACGGTTGGCAGCCAGACTACTAACTGGGGTGACATAAAGGAAGCATACCACCCCCCTGTTGTGCCAGCTCCACTGGCTGCCAGTTCACCTCTGAGCCCAATTCAAAGTGTTGGTTTTGACCTATAAAACTCTATACGGTTCTGGCTCAGCTTACTTGTCTGAACGCATCCACCCCTATGTCCCACCTCAAAACCTAAGATCATCCGGGGAGGCCCTGCTCATGCTCCCATCAACAGCACAAATGCGCCTGGCGGGGATGAGAGACAGTGCCTTCTCGGCAGTGGCCCTCCACCTATGGAACACACTCCCAACTGAGGTAAGATTGGCCACCTCCCTCCTGGTTTTTCAAAAGAAACTAAAGGCATGGTTTTGGGACCAGGCTTTTGGACAATAGATGCAAGGAGCACTTTAAGGGAATGTGACTGGAATGATGATATGGCTGATGAGACTGTTTTACTGTTTTAACGATGGCTTATGTATTGTTAATATTCTTTATATCTAATTGTGATTTTAATTTTGTAATTTGTTATGTAATGGCTTCGGAATGGGGCCCATTGTAAGCAGTCCTGAGTCCTCCTTCGGGGGTTGAGAAGGACGGGATAGAAATGTGAGAAATAAATAATTAATAAATAATAAAATAAATAGTGCTGCCTACTATCTTTGTTCCACGGCATGAATATTTTCCCAATGAGAGTTTCCAAGGAAGATCAGAAATTTGAACTCTGAACTCCAGAGTCCTAATCCACCTCTTGGACTGCTATTTCACACTAGCTCTTCTAGGCTATGCTTGATCGCAACAAGTAAATTAAACAGATTGAGGGTGGAGGAGAGAGAGCAGTCTTATTAGAGTAGAGTTGAGTGTTGTTTTTCTTGATAGCATTTAAAAGAGGGAAGAGCAGTAGACTCGCTTTGTAAACTAACAAAAGAGACAAGATTTACAGGAAGACAGTCTAATACTTTTTCTTCTTCATTGTTGACATTTCTTTGGTAGTACTCACATCTATTTGACCTTTTTATTTATTCACATATGCCATCTCTCAGTAGTCTTTGTGTTCATCTTGCTTTTGTGCTTCTTGAAACTTGGGGAACAAATCCCCACCTGAGGAAATGCAATTGGAAAAAGAGGATTTAGGGGCAGTGAAATTTACTTTAGGCTATACTTGAATAAGCAAGGCTAGAAAAAGGTTGGCAAGTGCAGCTTGAATTCTAATTCCTAGGTCTGGACGAAAGAGAGTGGACAGAAATGAGCATATTTGGTTTGAAAAACAGCCACATTATGAATCCTAGCTTGGGAGCAACATAATTAATTTCTTGTTCATTTACTTGCTTCATAGCATTCAATGACCTGGGGTAGATATGGTAGTAGATAGTACTTTAGATGTAGTGGAATGCTTAACCTTTTTATCACCTTTTTCTCCAGTCATGTGGCAAGCCTAGACTTTTCCATCACATATAGGTTCTCTGTGTGCCATATATATGTGTGGATATAGAGAGAGTCAGGCAAAAGAGGGAGAGCAGGCAAAATTTATAACAGCATTTTTCTTTCTAGCAACCTGTATAGCCACTATCTTAAGAAACATGAAGACTCAGAAGACGTGTCAGCCATTAAAACTCATCCCTTCATTTTGTAAAATTGAATTTGTGTCATTTCTATTTACACCAGTGAAATCAAGGTTTTCTTTGAGGGATTGTTTTGGAAGGGATACTTTCAATTCTCAGTTTTTTTCCTGCAGACTCTTAGATCCAAGAAGAAAATGTGGTATTAGTGACATACTGGTTCCTAGGACACTAGAAACTAGGGTTCAAATTCCCACTTGGCCATGGAAATCCACTGGATGATCTTGGACAAGTACTATTCTCTCAGGTCCCTTCATCACAGCTGTATAAAATCCACATTGAACTAGATTATATGGCAGTGTGGCCTCAGATAATCCAGTTCAAAGTAGATATTGTGGGATTTTATGCCTTGATATAATGGGTAAATGGCTGTGTGGAAGGGCCCTTTGTATCAGAGGAAGGTAACAGATGCTATCAAGGAAGCACTGGGATTGTTTCACCATAGGGTCGCTGTTGTTGTTGTTCATTCGTGCAGTCGTCTCCGACTCTTCGTGACCTCATGGACCAGCCCACGCCAGAGCTCCCTGTTG